CAAGTGTTGTGTGTCTTCGAGGCTGCTGCCGCCCCGTCGGACGCAATGGCAAGGGCCTTTGGTTTCTGACGAGGGCTTGCATCCTAAATGGGGGGGACGAGGCGACAGAGCCAGGGGACTACCTGCCATCGACTGTGTGACCCAGCCTGTTGAGAGGTGCGGCGGCCTGGTGAGCGCTACCGCTGCTACTCGTGGCTACGGGCAGGACACATGCTATTACTGCAGGCTGATATAGGTTGTGCACGGGCTGTTGGTGTTGTGGTTGGTCACTGCGGCAGGCCATCGCTACTGAGTGAGTGGACTGTGACTGGGCTGCGGCTACGGGCAACTGCTGCTGTGTTGTTGACCGCTGCTGAGTACTGCGACTGTCTTTATTGGGCTGCTACAGGTTGTTGTGCGACCGCGGTTGGGCTAAGGGTGAGGTGTTGAGGCTCAGGGAGATGACCGGACTGGACAAGTAGGGGGTTGATGTTGTGGTTTGAGGGTTCGTCAGGAGGGGATTGGTTCCGGTAGTTTGATTTTGTTGACCAAGCTATCAGTTGGCTGCCATTGCGGGGCCCTCAGGCGCATCAAGGCAACAAGGCCCTCTCCTGCGAGTCTGAGTGCACCATTCTTGTATCTGAGAGACTAAACCTTTCTACTTCTGCCCTTCTTCCTCTAAGTCTAGTCCATTGGTTCTAAGAGGAAGGCGGCAGGCGGGATTGCAACCTATAACCCGCGCCAAGGCCTTTGTGGGAGGTTGCCCCACAGATTGCGGGAGCTCTGCCGGGGCCTAGGCGAGGCTCTGGAGGCAGGGAATTGAAAGGTAGCCATTGCTTTCCCTCTGTATACCCTGGTATAACCCCTATTTGTACAACGTCCTATGTATTGACTGAGTGTATTGTATGCAACCCTATTTTGAATTTAGTTTGACTGGCAGGACACCACTCAGATTAAGTAAAGGAATGTGTGCGCAATCTCAATTTGAGTCTTTGTTGATCGCCTGAAGGCAGATTGTGAACACAAGGGGTTGCATCTGGGGGAAGGGTGGGTGAAAGGTGGTTTGCTTTAGTGTGAATGGGTCCTATGGGGTCAGACCAGTTCCATAAGATTGGACGGCCTGACCGCTGTGTTTATTCTTGAGTTTGCATGGAGAGTCAGGCCAGTTCCCCATAAGATTGGACGGCCTTGGACTCATGCCACACATAGTGGATCAGAGAGAAACGAACCTGGCAGAGGAATAGATATGTTCCATAGGAATGGACGGTGTAGCCTAATGCCTCGCATATGCTGGAACCCAAAGGAAAAAAATTTGGCTATATTTTATACTATCCTATTTATGAACAGGCTAGTCAGGCATGGGTATCATAAGATTGGACGGTCTGGCTATAGCTTATCATAAAATGAAGAAAGTATAACTAAGAGTATAATTGAAGGTAACCCTGGGCAGGCCGGGCCTTGTTCTAAGATGAACTGCTCAGTCCTATGCCCAATGTTTGAACATTAAGTTCAGAGAGGTATATATAATCTGGATATTCAACAGTTCTGGGCGATTAAGCCTTTTTCTAAGATGAACGGCCTAGTCATATTCCCAAAAGGAAGAGAGAAGTAGTTGTGCAACCTGTTCGTGTATACTCATTGGCTGAGTCAGACAAGTTCCATAAGATTGGACGGCCTGACTTTATGCCCTATGTCAGCTGGGTATAAGGGAATAAAGCATCAAGAGATTACGAACTATTGTTTGCAAAGTTGACTTGGGGTGGCGAGAGTACTTACCTTTGTGGGTTGGCCTGCATGAGGCTGAGTGAGGTTACTACTTGGTTTGAGTGTCAGATTGACAGGTAGTTGCTTTGAAGGCTCGTCTCGTGCTAGAGCGATAGGAGTTAGGTCAATTCCTGCATTTTCTGGACTAAGTTTTTTTACTTAGATCGATTCTTGCATTTCTTGGGATCTTTTATTGTACTTGGCTTTGTATAAATTCTGGTAAGCTACTTTCTCTACGGGAAGCGCTGCCAAAATTTCTGAAAATCCAAGGAGTTAGTCAAATTTTTGACTTGTCAAAGTTCAAATTCTCTAAAGTTTATACATGACTTAGTAAAAATATGGAAAGTCTCATTTTCTAAAGGGAGTGCTGCCCAAATTTTTGCTAATTCAGATAGTTAGACAAAATTGGACTTTGGAAAGTCAAAGACTATTTTTGTTTTCATATTCGGGCTGATATAAATTCTGAAAAGACACTTTTCCTACGGGAAGCGCTGCCGAAATTTTCCGGATTTAGAAGAGTTAAATTATATTTTGACAGGTGACGATTTTGGCAATCCACCCTGAATTGGGGAGATCCTGTCGTTAGTCTACCTTTGCTCTGGGCACAGGCTTAGAGGTAAACTTAGACCTGGTTGACAGATAGTCTTGAGTGAGAATGTGTTTTGGAGTTCTTTTCTCCATGGACTTATAGGTTAGTCTGGGGATTGGCCTGTCTTGTGTTACAGGTCCTCTTGACCGCTTGATTCAGGACTTGGACTAGATTCAGTTTGATCCTACGAGGATCATCTTCTGTTATCACTATATAACAGGTCGGTTGCCGATTTGTCGGTCTACGACTCAATTCCAACTCACTCGTCACACCCAACCTAAAAGGCTTTACCCCTGATGAGTTTATTGTTTGTTGAGGGTTTCACCCGGACTTTTATTGAATGGTCATTTAACAAAGGTACTGAGTATTTAATTATGGCTGGTTGGGCGGGAGATTCGGGTTTGCATGGCTAAAGCAAGGGGTATGAGTGTGGAGATTGGTTGGGGTTGACTCCGTGTAGTGCGTGGTTGCAGCTCGATTCTTTGATGTGATTGCAGGTATACCTTATGGCTCGGATCTAGATTTGGGGTTGCCTGCGATCTCATATATGTACTTACGGCTGTAAGAAGTCCCACAGTGCCTGTGAGCAGTGATCGTCGCAACTTTATCTCCCCTATGTGTGTCTGCTTGGGTGTATTTACTCTGGGGTTTCGCGAGGCCGGGGCCGCGATTACCACATATGACTTGCATCGTTGGTCGTTAGGGGACTGACCAGCAGCCGCGCAACCTTACGCAAACATCCTGCGTGCGATGCCTCGCCGCCCCAACGTCCAGAGGTTATGGGATCGGGAGGCTCGCACGTAGACGCTAATGCTTGAGGTCATTGTAGGCCGTGGGCATCACCCAAGGAGAGAGAGGGTACCCCCAAAAGATGATGACCCTGGCTGGAATAAGAGGGGTGTTACGGACTTCGCGCAGGGCACGATCCCTGGTCTATCGTTTTGCTATTTCAGCTGCATCCCGTTTTCGGCCTGGCGCCCTTTTTCCAAACTCCTCCTTTGGTACCGTAGGATTTCGGACAACTGGCGCCATGCTGCAATTCGGGCGCCACTTTCAAATACTGCATTTTTCAGTTCTGCCCTCGGGGCCTTTGCAGAAATGCCCCTGGTACCGTACGTATCACCGGTACTTATACTGGCTCCCCGTACGGTACGGGACCAGTCTCGTACCAGTTCCCTGTTGCTCTACTCGTACTCAGTGTGACTTGCTGTTTCGACATTCGGAATCCAAGACTTCGACTTTGTGCCTTGCCACTGTGTCTGCGTCCGATCCTCAGTCCGAGTAAGTCGTGTCGAGTGAGTGAGTGTGTGTGTGTGCTCTCACTCCATCCCTCTGTCTCCTCTCCCTCGGCTCACCCTCAGCCTCACACTCGTTACAAGGGGGCCCTCGGCCCATTCGTCTGCTTTTTAGGGTTCTTATGGTTGGACATTGTAGTTCGTAGCAACCGTCAAAGTCAAACCCTTTGATGTTTGACCGCCACGACAGCTTAAAGCTGTCTACTCAACCCCTCTGCACAGGGTGCAGAAGAGGGTGTGGTTTTCAACCGCACACGGCGGTTGTCCAGCGCCGAGAGATTAATCCTCGGAGCGCTTCTCAGCCGATTCTTGAGTGTCGAATGCGACCCCCGAGATAAACAAGGACCGTACGATTATGTGCACTACATAGTACGCCATCATTGCGACTGCTTGCGTACGTCTGCATCGCGAGCCGATATGGGTTAGCCCTGCGTTCGCGCAGTTTTATAATAACTCGCGCGCGCGACGCTTGCCCGATCTCCGTGTCGGGAAGTTACGGGTTGGCTACCGAGGGGCTAGGAGCGTTGTCGCGTTGTGTCTCGTGTCGTGTTGTATGTGCGTGTGTGTGTGTTTAATTTTTTTTGGGTTCGTAAAGAGGTGTGCGCATGGTGTGTGGGATGCGTCCTAGTCGACCGACTACGAGTCGCCCTTGAGACCTCAGCCCCCCAAGATGTCGGCTCGCGTGCGGGTCCTATAGGCGTATTACCGCGCGTACCCCCTATGCTACAGGGAACGAGAAACGCCCTCGGCTGGTCCACCTCTGCGATTGCAACTGATTAGCTTTCGTATTGTGGACTGGTAGCTCGACGGGGATACGGCCACCGAAGGGAGGAGACAACTCCTGTAAGGTGGGGGTAAGTTGTGCCTCGCGTAGGCCCTATCCTGTCGTAGGGGCTCGCDAGAGGTATGGCTGGCGCACTCGGCCGGAGCGGCCTAAGGAAGCTCCATTTGTGCGTTCGTGTCGAGGTGGGTCCAACTCCTGCATGACGCGGCCGAGAGGGGCCCGCGCTGCCACGTGCGGTGCCGGATCGATGCGCTCGACAGGTGGCGCTGTTGCCGGGGATGACGGAAGCCTACCGTTGTCCCTGGTGGAACGACATCCGGGTATGATAATGAGAGAGAACTAGGCACGTGAGCAAATATGAGAAGAACTATGAGATGAAACGTATAGTAGTCTATATGGCTGTGTGGGTGTGAATGTTGATTTGATTGGTGGTTAGGCTGATGGCATGAACAAGGTGAGTATGTGAGTGAATTCTGTGATGAGAATGGGTCTTACTTAGGTGAGCCCAAGGGAGGTAGGAAGTAGAGAGAGAGTTGTCTGCCAGGTCCAGAGCGTCGGGTGCTTAGGTGGTCGGTCTGATAGGATCGTGAAGGAATGGACTGTTGAGTGGAACCTTTCGTCCTATCGCTTCTTATAACAGGGGGATTGAAGCCGAAGGCAGTTAATCAAAATGCCTGAGGAGATGGCGGACGGTGGGAGGAAGCTTGTAACGCTCGACGACCTCATCGATGCCCTGGATAAGCGCGAGAGAGCGCCGAGCAATGTCCCGAAGGTTGATACTTTCCACTTCAAGGGAGAACGCGTGTCCGACTGGCTGGACCTGACGGAGCAAGCACTGGTGGGGCTGTCAGATGATGTTAAGCTCCAGCGAGTCCTAAGATATGTCCTTCATAGCCACCATCAGGAAGTGGGCAAGGTCGTGGATGCCGCCAATGGTAGTTGGGCGAGGTTCAGGGACATGATGCAAAGAAAGTACAGGTTGGGGGATGGCTTGCTAACCATGGCGGATTTGGAGGCCATGAACAAGGATGACTTCTCCACGATTCGGACGTTTGTGCACGAGTTTAAAAGGAAGGCGCGGAAGGTGCACGAGATCTCCGAAGAAACGCAATGTGTCATATTTTTGGGTCTGCTTACTGGCTCAGAGGCCTCGGAGCTGACAGGTCACGGAGGGGGAAATGAGAAACTTACCTGGGCCACTATCGAAAAAGGGGTGGAAGAGGGGAGCCTGGACCAGGTGGAGCAGCACCAGGTGCGGCTGCAAAGGCGCAAGAGAAAGGAAAGGGACGCCACCGCGTCCGGGACCCTAGGGGTGAAGAGGATCGTCACGGACGTATTGGCAGCGCTGGGGTATAATAATGAGGCGGAAGTGCGAAAGAGGGGAGTGACCGTGGCCCAAGGTCGGGCGTCAGGGGCAGTGGAAGAGGAGGCTAGGCGCGAGGACTATGGCGGAGAAGAGATGGGCTCCCAGATCCTAACCAAGGCCCAGAGGAAGCAGTGGAATTTACAAGTGGGGGGTCAAGGATCCGGAAAAGGGCAGGTCCCGCAAGCGATTGCTGCGCCGCCATCTGCTGCCACGACAACATCAGCAACGGTCGGGCCGTCATGTATGGGGCCGCCGCCGGCTTGTGGGCACTGGGTGCCGCATTGTCAGCCTGCATCCTGGCCCAGTTGTAATCACTGCACCTCGTGCGGGGGTAGTCAAACTCACCCCGGGCAAATGGTCCCTTATGCGGGCCCAGCGGCAAGTATGGGGCCCCCGAGCTACCCTGCGGCTCAGGGTCAGTTTGTGGCCCAACCACTTCCCTCCCAATAGGCCTCGTAGGCTAGCATGGCCGGTGGAGGAAACCAAGGACAAGGCGGACAAGGCAATGGAGGCCGAGGTCAAGGGGGTCGAGGAGGTGGCGGCTGAGGCCGGGGAGGAAATGGTGGGGGTCGTGGGGGTGGTTGGAATGGTCAAAGGGGCCAGAACCAAGGTGGCCGGGGCGGCCAGGAAGGGGGCCAAGGGTATGGGAGGCCCCGTTTTGATTGGCGAAATGCCACCTGTTGGCATTGTGGCGATGTAGGCCACACTGTGCGGTTCTGCGAGCGGCGGCGGGAGGATGAATTGTCAGGGTTAATCTCCTCCTATATGGACGGGGATATATATGACAAGTGGGGTGAGCATATCGACCCCAGGACCCCGGGAGGAATCAGGCAAGATGCTCTCCGACGAGCAGCAGCGGGACCCACAGCACCCCCGACAATGTTTAGGATGTGGGAGGAGAGGGAAGAGCCGACCGTAAGAGTCGAGGAGATTGTAGGGGATAGTGAGGGGGTCACTCAGCGACTAAAGGCGGGGACTATAAGGGAGGAGCCAATAATCGCCGAATCGAATGACGAGGGGCAGGAAGGCGAAGGAGAGTCGGCCATAGTCCTCCTGGGGAGAATGGAAGATCTGCTGAAAAAGGTGGGGAGGTACCAGCGGAAGTTGCAGGCCCTGTGTGAAGAAGCCTGAGAGTGGGAGGCCAATCTCCCTGAGGTCTTCCTCTACGACTCCGGACCTGAGCCTTCGCCAAGACAACAGGGGTACCCAAGAGTGGCGGCTGTAGGGATGGGCCCTAGGTCAGGTATGGCATATAGACCCCCCACGTCGCATGGGAGGGTGCCGTAGGCGGCTCGGACTAGGAGCCAAAACAAGCCCAGGCCTAGCCAAGAGCCCAGTCAGGCACCCCCTCGAAAGGAGCCGAAGCCAAGACGTAGGAAAGAGGTGGTGGAGGTCCCGGAGGAAGAGGAAGAGGATGACGACGAAGACGATGAGAGGCTCCGACAAGAGGAGGATCAGCGGGCGGAGCTGAGGGCCAAAAAGAGAGGAGCCCGAGAGGAGGCCGAGCCGAGCCTACCCGACAGCGTACCTAAGAGGAAGAAGTACGAGGTCCGGATGGAGGAAGGTTTTGATGTGGAGCGGATGGTGGACAAGCTCCTGGAAGGCCACAATGACCTGATGAACCTGAAGGACATCCCGGCGTCGGCACCAAGGCTCCGTGGTGAGTTGAAAGGGCGACTCTCGCGAAGGTTGGTGCCAAATGTCCATCTGAGTACGGTCCTGCCCAGGGAGGTGGAGTGGACTGAGGCAGGGACAAGGATGGACTGAAAATGTGTGGTGTGCGGGCAGGTGGATCTGGTGATAAAGAACCAAAAGTGCACTGGGATGGTGGACACGGGCGCAAAAATGAATATCATCAGGGAGAAGGAGGCGGTGATGATAGGCATGGAAATCGACCGCTCGGACCATGGCATGCTGCATGGCGCCAACTGCAAGGCCGCTTTTTGCGGCACGACGTCTAATGTGATTATAGAGATTGGGAAGGTGCGAGCCAGGACGTGCTTCTTCGTCATGCCCGATGTCGATCATCCCATCCTTCTGGGAAGGTCGTTCCTATGTCGAACAAAGATGTTGATTTTTAATAAGCCCGACGGGACAATGATCCTGCTCCTATGTGACCCAGCGTGTGGGAATTATGAAGTTATCACCTGCCGGAACATGTGGCCGGGGAGCGGGAGGAATAGGTCTAATCTCGGCTCATTCACCTTCGAGGAATCGGAAAATGAGCGAAGACGGCTTTGGGAAGTGCACGAGGAGGAGGATAAGGCTGAGGTGCTGACACTGAGCCTCACAGATGTGAATAAGGCCATGGAGGTGGTGTCGGCTCATGACATGGCGGATCCGGAGGCCATTAAGGCATTGAGGGAGCAGGTTTTGGAGAACCCTCAAGTGGGAGAGGTGGAGTTGGTGTATCGGCTTCCAGGAGGGGGAGGAGGCCCTGCAATGGCCCAGGCCCGAACAACAAGCCGGCCTTTTTTTAGGGGAGGGCTTAAGCAGGGCTCCCAAAGGCGGTACAAGATCGTAGATAAGAAGTGTCGCCCAGTTCCCGTGCTCATTACGGAGGATGAGGAAGCCTACTACGAGCGGGAACGAGAATTGATACGGCGTATGCGGGAGCACGCATTGGCCGGGCCGTGCCGTATCGACGACAAGAATGAGGGGAAGTTGATAATTGGGGAGCCCGACTTCTTGTCGCCCCAGGAAAGATCATTGATGGTGGGGCTGATGAAGAAAAGACACCGCGCGTATGAGTTCAATGACGACGAGCGTGGGAGGCTGGATGTGGACAAGATTCCGATGATACGAATCCACACCGTTCCACACGAGCCATGGAATCTAAGGGGCGCGCGATACCCAAATCCGGATGAGGAGAAGAAGGTGGTGGACTACCTGGACGGCAAGATGCGGACGCATGTGGCCGACTATTCTAGTGGACCGTACGCGTCGCCTTGGTTTTGTTTTATTAAACCAAATGGGACGCTAAGGTGGGTGCAGGACTTGCAACGGCTAAATGCGGTGACAGTGCGGGATGCAGGGCGGTTGCCGAATGCGGACGCACTGTCAGAGTCGTGCGCAGGGAGGCCTATAATCTCGCTTATAGACCTCTACTCTGGGTACGACCAATTCTCGGTATACCCGTCAGACAGGCCCGTAACGGCGATGCACACACCCAGAGGGTTGATTCACATGAACGTGGCGCCTCAAGGCTGGACGAGTGCAGTAGCGATGGTGCAGAGGCATATGATCAGAGTCATGCAGACGGTCAGCCCACATATCACTCAGCCCTATATCGATGACCTGGTGGTCAAAGGTCCGAAGGAGAAAGAGGAAGATGAAGTGATGCCCGGTGTGCGGCGTTTTGTCTGGAAGCATGTCCAAGACATCGATCAGGTTCTGGGGTTATTGGAGGAACGTAACCTGACAGCAAGCGTCCCCAAGTCGAAACATTGTAGGAGGGAGGCCACGATTCTAGGTTTTGTCTGTAACGAGAGTGGGAGAAGGTCTGACGTAAAGAAAACAGACAAGATTCTTGAATGGTCGGTGCCCTTCCGCTTGATAACAGATGTGAGGAGCTTCCTTGGGACGTGCGGATTTTGGAGGAGCTTCGTGAAGGACTTCGCCACAAAGATGGAGCATTTAAGGAAGTTGGTACGTCAGGATCAGGAATGGGTCTGAGGCGAAGAACAGGAAGAGGCGGTCGGTAGGATGAAGGGAGAGTTTAAGGAAGGAGGCTTGGTATTGGGAGCGCCCAACTACGAGGCCACGGAGGAAAGACCATTCGTCATTGAGATGGACGCTGGGCCAACTGCCTTAGGAGGAGTCCTGATTCAGGCAGACACTGAAGGGAAGGAGAGGCCGCTAAGATTCGAAAGTCGTACCCTCAATACAACTGAGAGGAACTACTCTTAGTCCAAGAAGGAAACGCTGGCGGTACTTCATTGCCTAAGGACCTTCCGGAACTATGTTTTTGGCAGGAGGCTCATCTTGAGGGTGAACCCTACTGCACTGGCATGTTCCCTGAAGAATTATACTTCATCTGACCCAACCGTTGCAAGATGGTTGACCTACGTTTGGATGTTTAATTTCGAGCTGGAAAGGATTCCAGGGAACAAGAACAAGGCAGATGGGTTAAGCCGCATCAACTGGGACGGATCAGACCAGGAATCAATAGAAGACGCCCCACCAGTTGATGGGTTTTTGAACCAGGAGGAGAACGTCCGCCTGCATATAAACGAGTGGTCCCTGCGAGTACCCAGTTGCGTCAGCCACCCTATATGGTTAGCGCCAAAGGGGGTACGGGCAGAAGGAAGAGTTGGTCCTCAAGCCTTTTCAGGAGGAGGATCCGTGGGGAGCAAGGATGTTGGTTGGATGATGAAGTTGGCATTGGCAGGAATGCACAGTTTGGTGGAGGAAGTGAGGACAATAGAGGAAGGCCCCACTCAGGTAGAGGAGCATGAGCAACTAATGGGAGGGATGTACCTGCTCACCAATACGCTCCTGCAAGGAGACTTCGACCGGAAAGGCTCGTTCAGTCATGAGGAAGATGAGATTTTAGTTCCTAAAAGTTAGGACGACGAATTTGAGGAAGGAGAAATCAAGGAGGCGTTTTGGGCGGAGGAGTACGATGGGATCTACCGGGAATTGGGGTTGCTCCTATCATGTGAGATGAGGGATAGAGATGCAAGTGCCAAGGCACAGAAGATGAGGCACCTCTATGTGGTAAGAGACGGCCACTTGTTTATAAAGCGGCAGGTCGGGAACCCCAAGAGGATCGTATGTGGGAGGAACCGGCAAATTGATATCATAGCAGCCCTACACGATGATATAGCAGGGGGGCACAGAGGAGTAGGTGCCACATGCGCGAAGATAAGCGAGCTCTACCATTGGGACGGGATGCTGACGATGGTTATCAAATACTGTCAGTCCTGTATACCTTGCCAAGAGAGGTCAGCGCAAAGGCCTAGAGAGCCCCTACATCCAAGGTTGGAAAGGGAAGTGGGTGCGGTCGTACACTTGGACCTATTATTCATGCCAGCAAGGGAGAATGGGTGTAACCACATCTTCGATGCACGGGATAACCTTACTGGGTTTGTGGACGAACGATCTATCCGGACGAAGACTGGCCCGGTTTTGGCAAACTGCATCGAGGAGTATTACCTGCGATATCCTTTTGTCAAGGAGTTCGTGATGGATCGAGGATCAGAGTTTACCTGCAATGAGGTGAGGGCGTTGCTTGCAGGGTATGGCGTAGTGACCAACTATACTACGGCCGCGCACCCTCAAGCGAACGCTCCTGTGGAGAGAGGGCACAGTACCATCATGAATCTCCTGGCTAAGTGGACAGAGGGCAAGCCTGGCCAATGGCCAAAGTTCCTACGGGCAGCTTTCTTCGTGGAGAATGTTGCTGTAAAGAGGACTACCAAGTACGCGCCAGCCACACTATGGTATGGGAGGCATGCCACCTTTCCCATAGAAAGCTTTATGAAAACTTGGAGGCGCCAGGACTTGGAGGTGAACCTGTCCTTCGAAGAACTGCTCGATATTCGGGCGCGGCGAGTGGGGGCGGCCGAAGAAAAATTGCGAGAGGCCGCTGACCAGGTAGAAAGGAGCCGCATGGAAGATAAGATGAGGTGGGACCAGATGGCGCGAGTAAGGAAGGAGCCGTTGGCAGTGGGGGACGTCGTGTTACTATACGACTCCTCTCTGGAGAAGCAATGGTCGAGGAAGCTCGACAAGAGATGGATGGGCCCCTATACAATTTTGCGATGTGGCGAATTTGGGGCCTATCAGATCGAGGAGCTGGACGGGACAGGCTGGCGGGATTGGGTATCAAGGACCAGGCTGAAGAAATTCGTGGCCAGGGAATAGGTAAAAAAATTTTACATTCTTCAGAGTGGACAAGTCCTTGAGGTGTTGCATATTATGGTTAAGGCAGGTGAGGGAGTAGGAAAAGACATGTGTGTTATCATGAAAACTCGATGAACCGAGGGCTAACCTTGTTGTGTGCCTGCTTGCTTTTCTCTCGCCTGTTGTGCAGGTCTGACTTTTCGAAGACAGCCATGCAGAGAGGCGGGAGGGGCGCGAGGCCACGACAGAGGACGATGATAACATAGAGCTCTTTCTGGACTCCTACCAGCCACATGCAACACAGGAGGGTTGGTCTACCTTGGAGAGGATACGACACCTGAGAGGAGTTGGGCGTTTTGAGGAGCCTATTGCGCACATCCGGGAGGAGGCTTTGACCTGGTAGGATATGGAGGCGAGGATGCAGATGCTGAGGACTTCGCCGTTGGGACCGGATGGGTTGCCTATTCGATTGGAGGAAGGCAATGCGAAGGAGTTCATTCCGGCCTATGAGCAGTATATGCGCGACGAGGGGACTGGGCAGGAGGAGTGGATGCAGATGCTGCCCCTCTGGATGCGGAGGGCGGAGAGGTCGTTGGCGAGGCAGATCCGGGACAGGGCATGCGACTGGGAGGACTGCCAGGCCCAGTTGAGGCAAGCATTTCGACGACTGGAGCCCGAGAGACTAGAGCCCAGGGTGGAGAGACGATAGAGGAGTAAGAGGCCACGGGGCCCAGAGGCGAGAGGGGCCACTACGACCAGAGGGGGCCGAAAGGCCTTGGCACAGCGAGATGGGCCAGCAGAGGCCACCCAGGCGGTGGAGCCAGTTCAGGCCGCGGGGCCAGCTCAAACGGCAGAGCTACCCCCTACCTATGGACTCGAGCGGGTGGAGTTTTGCCGAGTCACGGACAGTGATCAACGGGTCCGTCGCCGACGTTACCAGAGGGAGGAGAGGCGGTGCCATTGAGGCTGCCGCTCGACAGGTTGGAGGCTCATCTCGATGCGTCCCAGTGGGGGGCGTCACAGCTGGGAGCGGACCAGAGCGGACCGACACAGTATGAGCCAGTAGAGGATGAGCCAGAGGAGGAGCCACCTGAGCCGGGGCCCAAGGCGGGGTCTCGTGGGTCCGGGGGGCCTCAGACTGAGGGGGTTATCACTATTGGGGATGATACCCATCCTCCTACCCCGATTCCGGAGCAGACGCGGCAGTATTGGCCTGAAGGAATTCCTGAGCCGGACAGCGAGGAGATGTTGGGGCCTCCATCGGAAGCTACTACGCCACCCCCGACGCAGGCGGAGCCATAGGAGGGTGAGAGGGCGAGGACACCTACTACTGTGGCGCCGCAACTAACTGATCCTACAGGTGCACGCATGGATGAGGAGGTGCCGACCTCCGGGGAGACTCCGCCAGGGCCGCCAGCCATAGGGGAGGGGACGAATGAGAGAGACCTACTGCGAGAGGCCCAGGAGACGCGGGTAAGGAGGCCATCAGGGGAGACGAAAGAAGAGAAGCGCGCGAGGGTGCAGGTACGCCTCGAGGAGTTTTACCAGGAGAAGATTAGGATGGAGGCCGCAGGAGAAGCGTCAAAGCCACCGATTGACCCTCCGACGAGCGAACAGAGGATTAGCGAGGCCTGGGCCAGCTATGAGGGTGAGAGGGATGCTGCTCGCCTAAGGTCACGAGAGGTGGGACTGGAGAATGCGAGGGTGGACGAGGCACGAGAGACAGAGGACTTGGGGTTTTCAGCTGCCAGGATGGAGATTGAGCGTACAGACAGGAGGATAGGTGAGGTGGCGATCTCGTCCTTCCAGCGGTACTCCATGCTCAGTGATGAGTTGGCGGTCTCGAGGTTAGAAGTGGGACAGTTGTCCACCCAGTTGGCGGAAGAGAGGGCGAAGAACCAAGCGTGGAGGTCCCGCATGGAAGCCAAGGAGGGGGAGTGGGAGAGGAGGCTCCAGGACATGGTGGCTATGGTAGAGAGGCTCTCGACCACTAAGGTGGTCGACTGGACGGAGCAGAGCCGGTATGGTATCCAGGGGAAGGAGGTACAGGGGCTCCTTGGCTTGGAAGGAATGACAGAGACGCCACAACAAGAGGGAATGGGAAAGGTATTCCAGGACCCAACAGAGGCGGCGGCAAGGCGGGAGGCCGAAGAGAGGAGGTTCAGCTTCAGGACTCCCACGGAGTTGACCTCACAACAGGCCACCGCTATGACGATTGAGGTTCCTGGGGACGAGCCGGCGCAGAGACCCCAACCTCCGGTGGCGGAGGGGGGCCCCACAAAGGAGTCCCCTACGATCCTTTTGGAGGTGCAGGAGGGTGCCCTTACGGGAGCTGTAGCATCCACTGAGCCGGAGGTAATGGGGGGAGAGGCGTCTCGACTGGACGAGTTGGTGGCAGCTATGGAACTGGACATGCCGTCAGGAGGGCCTCAGAGGCAGGAGACCCCGGAGCGCATGCCAGAGATAGGGGAGTTGAGGACGCAGTTAGGCTCTTGGGATACTGGAGATGACTCAGGAGAGCACATCTCAGAGCAGCAACAGGAAGTTATGAGCGAGTCAGCGACTGTCGTGACCCCCCAGCCTTCTGACCTGCATAGGGGCGAGGGGCGATTGGGATGGGAGTAGTCCGCGAGGGTAGGCCACTGAGATTGGACACTCCAGCGTACCGACCCGAGGGAGATGAGATGCTACCAGGGCCGAGTACCCAGATGATGGAGGCAGAACCGACAGAGTCATGGAGTATGCCCCAGAGCCATGAGATGAGCAGGGGAACTAGCGAGACGCCGCCGTTGCCTGGGTCCCAGAAGAAGAAGAGGAGGTGTCGAGGGAGATCAGACGATCAGTGCTTCTTCTGCAAGGACAAGGCGGCTGGGAGAGTGACAGAGAGTGGTGGGAGGATGTACGACAGACAGGGGCAAGTGGTAGAGCGGGCTCCAGATGGGGGTAGGGCACAGTTGTATAGGCAGAACCAGGAGACCATGAGTGAGTCGGGGCTGGCCTGTCTATATGACAGTAGGACTAGAGTTCCTCTGTACCCAGAAGTCGGGTAAGGGATGTACGTACTCGGAGTCGGTTGAGTGGGTCCTAAGGGGTCTGCACGTCTGAGTTCGCCGTGGGAGTCCTGTCTAGTTGTACATACATAGGTGGCAGGGCTCAGTCGGTCATTGGGGTTTGTGTGTGATGCAGTTCGGCGGGTGAGATTCAGTTGTGAGATACCTGTGACTGTGTGATTTGTACATTAGGTTTGGAGGTTTGGAAACCTTCTTTACATTTCTGATTGGATCTTGAGAGCCATAACACTTGGGGTGTGAGTCCACCCTGTAGAGTGTACAGGGAACTGAGTGTTGAGTTGTTCACTGGGGCGGGCATCTTATTCCTAGGTATATCCTAGGAATTGTGTGCGTGAGAGCTTGAGTTGAGTGTTGTATTGAGACTTGAGGGAGATATTTTGCTCCCGAGTATATTTTGATTTCACCCTCTGTGGGATTTACTCTTGTGACGATCACTATCACTCTCACACGTGTGGCTTTATCCCAATGAATGAGCGCTTTGTGTGAGAGATGTGTGGGATACATCTCATGTATGCGTATTGTGTGATTATGATTGCCGTCTACTCTTCGGTATACTCGTGCGACCTGCCCATGGGCGGGTGAAATGACCGAGTATAAGGGGAGGCAGTGCGACTGTTTGGTGACAGATGTGTGAGGACCCTAAGGGGTCTTGCGTGCCTATAAGACTCGAATGCTTACCTTGCTGAATGTTTATGGCTAAGTTGTGAAAGGGACCCATAAGTTGGTCCCCCAGTTTGAGTTGTTTTGCATATGAGTTGACAAAGAGGACCCCTAAGTAGGCCCTCAGTGAGTTGCTCTATGGTGGAGACCCCCTTCAGATTATGGAGGGTGGGAATGCTGGTTATTGACCGTTATATAACCGAGGTCGCGTGATAGTCCATCCTATGAGAAGAGAGGGATGACTGGGAGACCTATTAAGAGAGACCCCCTTCATGTGAAAAATGGGTAATAGATTTAATGACATGTTAAGCAATGTTTGAATGATAAAGTCTGACGAGACAAACCAGGGTTACAAGTTGGAACCATTGGTGGAACCGAGAAGATCGCAAGTCAGTGCATAAAAATGTCGTGGGATGTGCGGTCTGCTGCCTCTGATTAAGTCAAGTGGGCCACGGCCTGGTGTGAGCCTACTGGTGAATCTGTTTGTGATTGTGAAAAGGAGGTCACGCTTCCTGCGCATCCCATAGGGAGCTGGTGGACGCCTTTAAAGTGAGACAAATCCCTGCGTAGTCCCGCAGTGGGTCTGTGGTCTGTTTTGTGACACACCATCTAGACACCTGTGCTAATCCTAAGGCATATTGAGGAATACCAAGCTAGACGGTAAAGGCTGGCACCCCTAGGGCGCAACCCCTATTGGATGGCTGCAAGCCAGCACAACCTGGCTGCGGGCCCCACGTCTACCAGCAGAGTAAGAGTTTAGGAGGTTATGCACAGCCCAAGGAAATTACTCTGGTGGAATGGTGGGGATATGAGTCGAGTCGTTTGGGCGCCCTGATTGAATGCCTATCAGGAGAAAACCTATCGTTGCCTAACCAACGAAGGGACTGCTGCTAAGATAACAATGTGGTAGGCCATAGATCTGGCTCGATCAACCAGACTATGGTGGGCCAGGATGAAGACCTAGCGTTTCTGTACTAGACTGCACAAAGAGCTGAGAGGAGATCTACGTATACATATATATGTCTGATTGTGAGGATTTTCGCGAGGGAGGCGAGAGTGCCTTCTGAGGTCTCGTCTAAGGCCCGCATCCCCGTATGACTCTGCTTGTAAGAGAGAGTCTAACAGGGACACCCAACGAAAAACCGACGTTTGTCTAGGACGAAGGGGAAAGGACGGTTTGAGGTGGCCTTTGGAACTTATGCTGTAGTATTGATGCGTAATACACCTACGTCCTAGTGTCAGGACAACGGAAACCCAGGTTGAAACCCTGGCAGCATATAGTTATGTTGGCATGGAGTGTTGGAGGCCTCAACCCTGAGTCTGTCGGCTCATCGGAATTGGTTCCGCTCTCATCAGCATTAGAGCGTGAATGAGTTTGTAGCTTTCTGATTTGGCGTAGCGACGGGGACGTCGCTTAATATAGTCCGGTAGGCTGTCGGCGCGAATACCCTTACAAGGGTATCCGCCCTGGTTTTTGCAAATGACGGAGAAAATGGGTTGTGCGAGGCGCGACCACGTCCGGGGCCTGCCCTGGTTAAGTTAGAGGGTATGTGAGCGCGCAGTGTTAAGGCGCCCGTGTATTAAGGGATAGGACGGGAGCGCGGGGCAGCCATGGTGCGGTCTGGGCAAGCCGGCGCGGGTGCCTAGCGATGGCACGTTTGGTTGCGGGCAAAAAGAGGGGCCCAGGCTGTTGTTCCCAGGCTTAAGCATGTCGCGACACCACTTCATATAGGAATCCGTGCCTAATTGTTCCAAGCTGGGGCATAGCCCTATGGGTTACGGCATTGGACTTTCGCTATGGAGGTACAGAGATCGAGGCCAACGGGCGTCGGCGCAACAGCAGCAGAGCGTGTGGAAAAAACTGAGAGGGTTGAGGGCACGGCAGGGCTATCCCCCCTTGGTTTTGCTGGTAGGGGCGGCGATGGACCCAGTCCACGGGACCGGTGGGGTTCTAGTGGTTCCCGCACCCGGCCTAGGGATAGCATGGCCCCTGCGCGCGGATGACATGCATTAGTAGGGGAAGGAGGGCCGGCTCCGGCCGCTGTTTCGACGGTGCCGTTCGATGACTGTGCGGTCCGGGCGTTTTAGCGCAGAGCTGCGCTGGTGAGAGCTCCGCTGTCGGCAACGTGACGGGAGAGCCAGACGCGGCTGGTGCAAAGAGAGCAAAGAGAAGGCCGGATCCCGACGGGATCCGGTGCCAGATGCATGGGGAGGGCCACAGGAGTGATAGGGGCGAGGTGGCTGAACTGGGATGGGGTAACGAGCCAGGTACGTGTGGGCGGATTGGTGAGTGTGGCGACGAGCGGTGTGGCTGCGGGGTGAAGTGAGGAGCGACGGGCGACGGCGGGCCAGCTCGGCAGGGGGGCGAGGACGACGGAAGGTAAGAACAGGCAGTGCGGACCAGGAACGGAGGAGAGCAGACAGTGGAAAGGCAGGGG